GATTACTTTGCAGGCCCAGAGGTTTCTCCCTAATCCCCTTTTGTGTCCCAGCCTGCAGCCCCCTCCCTCTCTCTGACAAGCTGCTAAGCAGAAGGCTTCCAGGGCCAGGGAAGAAAAGGCAGCTCAGCAGGGTGAACGCTAAATCCCTGGCCTCTGGGGTGCTGGGAGGGGGTGCAGGAGCTAGGGAGCAAGCCTGGGGCAGAGTAGGGTCCCCTTCCCCACTCTGGGCCCCCCATTCTTAATCAGGATTCTCAGGAGATGGCCCGGCAACCTCCTGGGAGGGCCCTTAGGTGTGAGTGGAAAGCCTGGGAAGGTGGTGGTCCTCAACTGCCATCCCTCCTGCAGAGTGGCTCCTCTCGGAAGCAGGTCTCCAGGCTTTGAGTGCTGGGCCCAGAGCTTCAGCACTGGCCTGCGCTGTTGCCCAATCCACACTCTTGCCCTCTCCCAGGCAGCACCCCTAAAGTCTGCGAGGGTGGGAACCCACCCGATTTCTAGGTCTAGCAGATCAGGAGCTTGTCCCAACCCCTGAGGGAGTCCGCCCTGTGCTGGTTCCAGGCTCGGTTCCGCCGGTCTTGTGGGCGGAGCTCACTTGGGGCCCGGCGTGTGCCAGGTTTAATTTAGTGAGGCCGGGCACTTGGAGTGGGAATCAACTCCATGGCGGCAAGTTTGGCTTGTTTTTTGTTTGTATTTTTATAGCCCCAGTCTCCTGGGTCTGGGTCGAGGAGGTGCGAGGTCATCTAGCCAAACTAGAGACTTGGCTTGGGACCAGGCCACGCTCAGGTTGGGGTGCGGGGCTCCCTCTTGTCCCCCTCCCTGCGGCTGCTGAGCCCAGGGTGGCTCTGCGCCCTCAGTTCCCGGCCGGCGGAGCCAGAGCTTCAGCCCCGGCTGGGGTGTGTTCTGGAGCTTGGCGGTGGAGGGTGTGTGTGTGGGGGGGGGGGGGGGGGGGGGGTGGGGGGGGGGGGGGGGGGGGACGGGACCCCGCCCCCTTCCCAGCTGAGTCATTAATTCTCGTGGCCGCTACCCCGCCCCAGCCCGGCCCGGGTGCCTTTTCGGCGGGAGGGCACCTGCTTGCTGGCCGCGCGGAGGAGCGTGCTGCCCGGAGCGCGCGGAGCGCACGGGCGCGTGAGAAAGCGGCGCCGCCGGCTTTGTGAGTGTGGCGGCGGGGCGCAGGGTCGCCGAGCCGCGGGTGGGATCCGGGTGGGGGCTGCGGCCGTTTGATGTGCCCGGGCGGGGTAGGGGGACGTGGCCGCATAAAGAGCCCATAGAATTGCTGCCTGCCTGCCGCTGGCTGGCCGGGCTGTCCCCAGCCCCCCCTCCCACCCCCTGTCTGTCCGCAGAGGGAATCTGCACTCGCGGCCCCACCGCGGCGTGCGGAGCGGCGGGAACCCCTTTGAAAGCTCTCAAAGGCCTCTTTATCGGTCCCTCTGACCCTCCCTCCCCGCAGGGAGCTACGAGAGAGTGGGCGCCTTCCCCTGCCTCCTCGCCCAGTTTTGAATTCTAGAGAAAGTCCAGGCCAAGTTTGTGCCTGTTGCTCAGTTTGGCTTCCTCCTCCCTGTGTGGGGTTCAGCGTGAAATGGGGGCAACGTGGAAAGTAGTGGGATGCCAGGTGGTGAGAGGCCCTCTCTTCTGACCTCTGCCCCTAAACCCGTAGGAATTTCAGATTCCCGACTTTGGTGCCCTTGGCGTGTGTGTGTGTGAGAAGTGGCTGGTGAATTTGAACCGCCAACCTTGGACTTAGCGGAATGTTTATCCAAAAGCACCACCAGCACCTTTGGCCATCCCTGACACCCTTCCCCCAGCCTGCGGGTGCTCGTGTTGGGCAGGTATAGGTGTGGCTTGGTGAACTTGGCCCAGGGGCCCCCTAGGGGTGAGTCTGTGCCCCCAGGGATGAGGAAGGATGAGGCAGGGTGGCCGGGACAGAGCACCTTGTCAGTTCCCGGAGGGCTTGGGTTTCCTCCAGCTTCCTTGCTGTCCTGCCATCAGAGGGGGTGGGGGTGGGGGGCGGTGTTTGGAACTTGAGAGGAACCTGCCTTCCTAGAAGGCTGCTCATTTTTGAGGTCAGCCCAGGCTTCCTGTCCGCACCTTTTCCTCCCTCACCAGGTGTACCTGTGAGCGCCAGCCTGCCGCTGGTTCTTCTGGTTGAGCCCCTGTTTGCCAGACAGGCCGAGGGCTCCCGGGACAGTGTGACAGGCTGACTGGGCTCAGTACTTATGAGGCTGGAGGGGTAGATAAGAATTAGACCCTGACTCCCTGTGTCCCCAGCAGAGCAGCGCCCCAAATGTGTGTGTGTGTGTGTGTGTGTCCAGTTTGCAGCTTTCCGGGATGTACGTTTTGGGGCGGTAGCCAGGAGTGATCCTGGAAGGTGCTGCTCTCTCCTTGTTCCCTGGGAGCCAGGCTCACCTGCCGGCCCGTGTGCAGCCCTGGAGGTGGTGGTGGGTGATTGGCGCTCTTGGGGAAGTCCTTGAGTGTCCACCACCCTCAAGCTGAAGTGGGGGCCAGGGGGCAAGGAGGCAGGCGCTAGGGGACTGGAGACTTTAAAAAGAGAGAGTAGGGGGCTGGGTAATGGAATTGGGGCCTCAGGCAATTCTGGGCCAGGGAAGAGGAAAGGCTGAGCCTGACAGGAGTGCTGGCCTCCAGAGCCAGGAGCAACTCAATACGTGTGTGTGTGTGTGTGTGTGTGGGGGGGTGTCAGCAACCTCAGCAGAGGGGCCACGGAGCAGACTGGGAGCCCTCTTGTTTCCTACCCCACTCCTTACAATGTATTCTTCACCTGGCCCAGCTCCTGGCAGCCAGTGGAGAACCTCTAGGGGTGAAGGGGGCACTCAGAGGCTGAGAGGATGAGGTAGCATTTCCTCTCCTCATCCTTGTTTGCCTGACCTCCCTGGGGCCTAAGCAGAGTACCCCTCCCTCCTGGGAGGGTCAAGGAGCTGGATTCAGGGAGGCCTGTAGGCAGGCAGGCCCGAGGTGATTAATGCTTGCAGGAGAGCTATGATTTATTTTAAACAACAGGAAAAAGCCGGGGTCTGGGCAGGAGGGCCACTGTGGGTGAGGCCAGGTTGGGCAAAGGCTCTGTTTATTCAGGGAGAACCAGGTTCCCTGCGAGCCCAGAGCAGGTGAATGAGCGCCCAGGGCCCTCCGGGAATCTAGGGCTGGGAGCCTTTTCACCTAGAATCCCTCCCACAGGCTGGGCTGCACTGCAGCTTCCTGCTTTCATGATGGGAACACTGTGGACATGAAGTGACAGGAGGGGGCCCCTCCTTTGAACCCCCCCCCCTGCCAGCCCATCCCCGACCCCCTTGCCCAGACCAGTGCCATGTGAGGGTCCCCTGCAGGTAAGACTGAGGTATTACCTGAAGTCTTTCCTTCCTCATTCACCGGCTGCAAGGCGACAGAGACAGCAGGTCAGGTCATGGCAGCCACCTGTTTCCCTTGTAGCTGTGCAACATGCAAGGCTCAGTGTTATTTGTACAGCTTTCCAAAGGATGAGGTGTGGAGATTGGGAGAGGGAAGGAGTGAGGACTGGGGTGGGGTGGGGATAGGGAGAGCCGGGACCGACTCTTGACCTCCTGGCCTGGCACAAGAGAGACTGCTCCCCAACAGCATCTCTGAGCCCCAGTTGGTGAAGAAAAGGAAGGCACTCAGCTGTTCATTTGCTTGAGATTGAATGGCTCCTGTCCCCTGTCCCTGTTTAGGAACGGCTGGCAGGTTAGGGACCTCTCATCTTTCTCACTGAGGCCTCTCTCCAAACAGCAGACCCTCCTGGGGGTGGGCGGTGAGTAGAGAGAAAGAAAAGAGCGGAGCCCCGGAGTCACCTCTGCTTCTTGGAGACACTGGAGAAGTGGCTCCTGTCTGCAGACGGAGAGCCTTCTCTGTCATCGGAGTTAGCTCACGTCCCCCTGACCACAGCCTCTAAGACAGGCATTGCGTGGAGCAGAGGATGGAGGCTTAGCCCAGCTTAGTGACTAACCCAACCAAGGCTGTGGGCAGCCTTTCCCAAAGTGGGCATACTGCCCCTGGGATAATGCACGCTGTATTTTCCCTGGCTGGCTTGATTTTTCCCCTCTCTTTTGGTCATTTCCAAGTGGAGTAGACAGAGGCGGGTCCTTTTGTCAGAAACCAAGACCTGGCGAGCCCCCTGCAGGGATGGGGCAGCACTGGGTGGCACTCACCCAGAGGGATCCAAGCACAGGGGCAGGGCCAGTGGGGAGGGTGTGGAAGGGAGAAGGGACTAACTTGGGAAGTAGGGCCTGGCTGCTCTGGGTGGGCACTGGCATCGTTACAGGTGCTGCCAGGCTAGGGCCTGCGGTCTCATGGGCAGGTGGATCTGGGACCTGGGACTGGCCCCACTGCCCGTGACTGTTGGGCAACAGCTGGTGGGACAATTTCTTCCCCTTGAACACTGAGCGACGAGCAGGAAACTGGAGAGGGTTTCAGGCCTAGCTTCTTCCAAGGGAGCTGTCTCTAAGTGGTTTCTGTGACAGGTAACCCAAACTACACACTGCAGGTTCTCCTCCCAGCCTTGCCACCTCATCCTGGTGGTGGGGCGGTAGGGGGGGTGGTTCTGGTGCAACTCGGCACCCTGCCAGGCAGTGTGAAATAGGAAGTGTTACTCTTGACAAAGGGGAATTGACCAGCTTTGGGAAGTGGAGAGAAAAGTGAACCACTTAGGGCTGCCAGAGACAGGGTCTCCTGTACAGGTACCTTGCTAGCAGGACCCGGGGAACTGGAGATTCGGTTGGCTGATTGACTTTATCTTCCATACTAGCAGAGAGGGACAATAGTCGAGATATTTCAAGACCGAGTAACCCACATGTGTTTGGCCCTGGAGTGTGCTGAGGTTTAAACATCATATTTACCTGGTTCATTACGCCAGCCCTAGGCTAATATTAACACGCATTTCCTGATTGGGCTGTGGGAACCACTGGGCCAGGCTACCACTGGCCACCCAAGAGTGGACAGAATTCAGAGCCCTCACAGAGCAAGCCCTGGGAAGCTGGTGCCCAGGGAGGGCCTCATGTTTGTCCCTGTTCTTTCAGGACCTGGAAGATGAGATGTGCCCCCACCGAGGCGCCCCACAACACTCGCCCTATTGCACGGTCTGAGAAGCTGGACCTGGACCCGAGAGCCAGCTGCAATGGGCTCCCAGCAGGATCCTAGGCCGCTGGTGGCAGCAAACTGGCGAGGCCCTGGCAGCGTGTGGAGCAGGGCTGGGAGGAGGCAGGACCGGAGTGTGTGAGCCAGACCCTCCCGCTGGGCCCACCATGGTGCAGAGACTGTGGGTGAGCCGCCTGCTTCGGCATCGGAAAGCCCAGCTCCTGCTGGTCAACCTGCTGACCTTTGGCCTGGAGGTGTGCCTGGCTGCGGGCATCACCCACGTGCCTCCCCTGCTGCTGGAAGTGGGGGTGGAGGAGAAGTTCATGACCATGGTGCTGGGTGAGTCATGACATCCTCCTTCCGGCCGGCTCAGGGACACGAGCTGCCCGGAAGAGGCCTCTGCTGGGGGTGGGCGTGGGTGGTGAGCGGGAGAAAGGAAAGAAGGGGCCCTTCACATGGCCGGACTTCTTGGAGAAATGGCTCTCACCTGCAGACGGAGAGCTCTCTGTCTCCTGACAGCAGCCTCTGAGACAGCCGTTGCACAGAACAGAGGATGGAGGCTTATCCCAGCTTGGTGACTAGCCCAACCAGGGCTGTGGGCAGCCTTTCCCAAAGTGGATGTGCTACCGCCTCCTGTGGACGCTGGAACGATTGGGGAGGCGCTGCAAAAGCAGATGTTCACACTTTATCCTGGGCATGGGGCTATGGTCCTGATGGTTTTCATGGCTGGCGGGTGGGGGCAGAGTGCCATAGCTTTTGTTTGTTTTCTGGAAAAGGGGCGGAGGGCACATGAACTTGGGCGCCTGTGCTGTAAATGGTTGAGTAGACCGGGGTCTCCCGGCCAGGGCTCTTCTTACCACTCTGGGCAGGGCTAGGCTCCTGACTCCACAGTACGTTCTCTGAGCACCGCAGCAGGCACGTTGCAGCCCGCCTGCCCCCTCCCCCTGCCACTCAGGAAGTGGGGCCTGTCAGGATTGTGGGCTCCAGACTCAGACTGCCTCAGGTGTGACTCTGTGCAGGCAGGCATCACTATCCGTGGCCCCTGCCTCAGTTTCCTCATCTGAGGATGCGGCATGGGGTTCATGATACCTAAGGAGTCTTGGGGTGATATAAACTGTTGACAGGCTGGGCTGGTTAGGGGCTTTGAGCCCACCCAGACAGAGGTTCCTCGGAAGAAAGGCCTGGCCCTCTACTTGCGAAAACCCAGCTCCTGCAAGCGCCGCCGAACCCAGTTCTGCCTGCCACACACGGGGGTCCGCTCCCTACCCCTCGCAGCTGTGCTCTCCTGCCTCTGCGGTGGGGCGTGAGTGAGGGTGTCCGTGAAGTGCTGAGCACAGTGTCTGAAGGCCCCCTTACCCTCCCCACCCTGCTCAAGGAGGCCGGCTTCCCTGCCCTGCAGGCCGTGTCCGCTGACTCGCTGCTTGTCCTCCCGCAGGCATTGGGCCTGTGCTGGGCCTGGTCTCCGTCCCGCTCCTCGGCTCCGCCAGTGACCACTGGCGCGGGCGCTACGGCCGCCGGAGGCCCTTCATCTGGGCGCTGTCGCTGGGTGTCCTGCTGAGTCTCTTCCTCATCCCGAGGGCCGGGTGGCTGGCGGGTCTGCTGTCCCCGGACGCCAGGCCCCTGGAGCTGGCACTGCTGATTCTGGGGGTGGGGCTGCTGGACTTCTGCGGCCAGGTCTGCTTTACCCCACTCGAGGCCCTGCTCTCCGACCTCTTCCGGGACCCAGACCACTGCCGCCAAGCTTTCTCAGTCTACGCCTTCATGGTCAGCCTCGGGGGCTGCCTGGGCTACCTCCTGCCTGCCATTGACTGGGATGCCAGCGTGCTGGCCCCCTACCTGGGCACCCAGGAGGAGTGCCTCTTCGGCCTGCTCACGCTCATCTTCTTCACCTGCACGGTGGCCACGCTGTTTGTGGCCGAGGAGACTGCGCTGGGCCCTGCCGAGCCAGCCGAGGGGCTGCCGGTCCCCAGCAGTGTGCCCCCCCACTGCTGCCCGTGCCGCACCCGGCTGGCCATCCGGAACCTGGGTGCCCTGTTCCCCCGGCTGCACCAGCTCTGCTGCCGCGTGCCTCGCACCCTGCGCCGCCTCTTCGTGGCCGAGCTGTGCAGTTGGATGGCCTTCATGACCTTCACGCTGTTCTACACAGACTTTGTGGGCGAGGGGCTGTACCAGGGCGTGCCCAGGGCCAAGCCAGGCACTGAGGCCCGGAGGCACTATGATGAAGGTAAACTGCTCCCTCCCAGAGGTTGGGACAGGGGAGGGAGGGAAAGGAGGTGCCCACGGCTTGGACGTGGGCTGAGCTCTGGCCTCTTGGGGCCTCGATGGGCTGGATCCCTCGTGTGGTGCCAGCAGCTCCACGTGCCACATCTGGACTGAAGCCTGGCGGCTGGAACCCACCCACCCGCAGGTGCCTCAGAGCCAGGTGTGGCAGTCTGCTTCTGGAAGTTCACTCGGGCACGAACTCCCCATGGGGCAGGGCGATTTGACTCTGCAGACCTGGGGGCCTTGACCTGAGGGCAAGCAGCAGCAGCAGCACAGGCTGGTCTGGATGCAGTGCCTGTCAGGCACAGGGCAGCCGGGCCAGCACCTACTCAGAGTGCCCAGCCACCTGGAGCGAGGGATCTGGGTTCGTGTTACCAACGGACATGAGGGGAGGAGTTCAGGCTGAGTCTCAGGTCAACTCTTGGCTGCTGTCTGCCCTGCTTCAACTTCCTGAATGCCTCTCCCTCCCGCACCTCTGGGCTCCGGTGCCTGGGAGCTCCGTCCTTAAGCCCGTGGGAGAACCACCTCTGTTCCTTCTCACCCTCCCTCCTGGGAGGCCAGCCCCCTCCCTTGGGGCACCTTGGGATGTGCCTCAGCCTGTGGCTTCAGCCTCATCTCTGGGTCAGTGGGAAGGTCTGCAGGCTGGGTGGGAGGGTGCCGAGCTCACCTCTTGTGTCTCCCTCCACAGGGGTCCGGATGGGCAGCCTGGGGCTGTTCCTGCAGTGTGCCATCTCCCTGGGCTTCTCGCTGATCATGGACCGCCTGGTGCAGCGATTTGGCACCCGGGCAGTGTACCTGGCCAGCGTGGTATCTTTCCCGGTGGCGGCTGGTGCCACATGCCTGTCCCGCAGCGTGGCCGTGGTGACCGCCTCGGCTGCCCTCACTGGCTTCACCTTCTCGGCCCTGCAGATCCTACCCTACACGCTGGCCTCCCTCTACCACCGAGAGAAGCAGGTGCTCACCGTGACTGTGGGGTGGGTCAGGAGGGCGGCGGGGGCGGGGTGGTGTGCGCATGTGGGAGTCCGGCCAGGGGCTTTGGAGAAGGCATTCTTTGATCAGAGAGGAAGCCGTCTGAATCCCAGAGCCCGGAGCGCCAGGCTGCGGAAGAAGGGTTTAGATTAGACTCTTGGAATGACTTCCTGCTGTCAGGACTATAAAGCACTTAAGTGGGTGATCTCAGGAAACACACACTCCTTCCCCGGGAGCCTGGACATTCAAGCTCGCAGGAGCCCTGGGTCTGGGCTGAGCCAGGTCCTGTCCTTTGCAGAGGCAGCAGCCTGGATCAGATGACCTCTGGTCACCTAGCGTCAGCCTGTGGTCTGGCCTTGACCACACGCCTGCCTGCCTTCTCTGGGAGAGGCTCCTGACTGCCCTCTGCCTTTCTTTGTCCTCAGAGCTAGAAGGGGGGGGCCACTTGCTGCCCCTCTTTCTGCTGGAGTTTCCTTCTCTGTCTCATCCTCTCTTTTCTCTCCCTCCCCACTCCTTTGCCTCCATCCGCCCACCACCCCTACTTTGGACCTCTGAGCAGCCCCCGGGCCTACTGCCCACCTCTCTCAGTTGAGGGGCTTCCTTCCTGCCCAGCCTCAGCACCAACCAGCTGCCCACGCTGCTGTGGAAGCCCCCCAGCTTGCTGCGTGGTCATCTTCCTCTCCCACTGCATCTCCCCAAGCTACGATGACTCTGGGTGCACACCCTGCAAGAGATGGGGGTGCGGGAGCCCTGGCTCCCGGTGAGGGGGATTGGGGACTGGACAGCTCTGTCAGCATGGTATTGCTGGGAGGCTAGGGAGCTGGGGCCTAGCCTGTGTGTTCATTGGGCTCCCCTCTCCTGCATGTGCCCCAGCCTGGACACACGTGGAGTGCTGGGTGGGCACTGTTCGGGGCTGGCCCTCGCGCTCGTCCCCAGGGCAGGAAGCCTGTCCAGACCTGGCCCCGCCATAGGCCAGCCCCGGGTGTCCCTGCACTGAGTTTCAGAGCAGGCCTCCTCTCTACAGCACAGCCAACTCGAGAACCTTTGTGTCAGACTCTGTCGGACACTGGGGACAGGGTCAGATAGGATGCGGCCTTGACCTCACGGAGGCGCCAGGCTGTGGAAAAGAAGCCCTGGGTAAGCTAACCCAGAGGTTGGTGGTTCCAACCCACTAGCCTCCCGGAGTGAGAAGGACGAGGCAGTGATTTCGTAGAGATCCGTAGCCCTGGAAACCCCGGGGGGGCCCTTCTCCTCTGTCCCATTGGGTCTCTGAGTTGGAATCCACTCAGACCCCACTGAAGGCAACAGGACAGGGCTGTTGAGGGCAGGCGTGGCATGGGCACGGCCACAGAGCTGGGGTCTAAGGCAGCCAGGGAGAAGGAAGTAGAAAGCCTTCAGTCTTAGCACAGATGGGTCCGTGGGGGCTGGGAAGGAGGAGTTTCCCCCCCACATCCTCCTTCCCAGAGCCCTGCCCCAAGACAGGGTACAGCCAAGAGACCCTCTTCCATGCACTGGGCCACCAAAGGGGAGTGGCTCTCTGCTGCCACCCCGCGGCAGTGAGGGGGCGACACCCACAGGGCTAACAGCTCCCTCTCCCTCCTTCAGTGGAGCTTTCCAAATGGGCCTCAGTCGGATTTTCTCTGGCAGTCCCAGGAAGCAGGGCACCGTGCACGGGGGCGTGGCGTGGGGGGAACGAGAGCTTCTGCAAAGGTTGCCAGGCTAGGGGCGAACATCTAGTGTCCAGATCAAGTCAGACCCAGAGAAGGGAGGTGGGGAGCTGTGAGGGACCTCACCATTAGGCAGCACCTGCAGTTAGGGGCCTGGGTACCACTGGCACAGTGCCCATTCCTGTGTGAGCAGTGAGCCTTTCTGAGCACCCGAGGGTGGAGCTGGGGGCGGGAGAAAGGGTGGGGGCGTGGGGGTGCTTTTAGATTTCATTCTTCTTTTCCTGCAAGTCTCTCTCTCCCGGCTCCATCCTGCCCAGGCCCTTTTCTCTGCAGGCCCAAACTGCAGGCCAGAGGAGCCCCTGCTTGGGGCCTGATTTGCCCTTCCCCCTCCCGAGCAGCCCCCCTGCACCCCTGCCCTGCTCCACCCATGACCAAATGAAGTCTGCTGTTTTCCCACTTGCTGCCTGGTTTCCAGTTAGCACCCCTGCCTGATTTCTTCACATCCAACACACCCACCCACCCCACCCCCGGGTGGAAAGGTAGGGTCTGTCCTCCTTGTTGGGGGAGCCCTGGGTTCATATAGCTCTTGGCACTCTTTCTCACCTCAACAGGTATTCCTGCCCAAGTACCGAGGGGACCTTGGAGGTGGTGGCAGTGAGGACAGCCTGACCACCAGCTTCTTGCCGGGCCCCACGTCTGGCACACCCTTCCCCAATGGACACATGGGTACCGGAGGTGGCCTGCTCCCATCTCCGCCCACACTCTGTGGGGCCTCGGCCTGTGACGTGTCCATGCGCGTGGTGGTGGGCGAGCCGCCCGAGGCCAGGGTCGTTCCAGGCCGGGGCATCTGCCTGGACCTCGCCATCCTCGACAGTGCCTTCCTTCTGTCCCAGGTGGCCCCATCCCTGTTCATGGGCTCCATCGTACAGCTTAGCCAGTCGGTGACTGCTTACATGGTGTCGGCCGCAGGCCTGGGTCTGGTGGCCATCTACTTCGCCACTCAGGTCGTGTTTGACAAGAACGACTTGGCCAAGCACTCCATGTAGAGGGCTTCTGACCCACCCAGGGCGGCTCTGGCCCATTGACCCCCAGCTCACTCTCTTCCAGTCTCAAGATAACCCCCAACAAGGAGCCCTAGTGGCATAGTGGTTACGCATTGGGCTGCTAACCACAGGGTCAGCCGTTTGAAACCACCCGTCATTCTGAGGAAGAAAGACGAGGCTTACTACTTCCGGTAGAGTCACAGCCTTGGACACCCACAGGGGCAGTTCTGCCCTGTCCTAGAGGGTCGCCATGGGTCAGCATCTCACGGCTGTGGCGGTGGGAGGGCTTCCTGCTGGCCTTCCAAAGTGGTGGGGCTCTGTGCTGCCACTTCGTGGCGGTGAGGTGTACAGCAACACCTGGGACTGGGGTCTCGGTCCCACCCCTCCTTCCTGACTGTGGGCTGACTGACTGCCCTCCAGATGGGCTTCAGTCTAGACTTCTCCAGGGAGGCCAGTCAGGCTGCCCCATTGATTAGTTCTGTGCACTGGAATGCAGGGTGCATTATACCTGGGTGCAGGGCTAACAGCTGGGGTCCCAGCGAAGGCATACCTGGAGGTGGAATTTGGGGAGCTGAGTGGACTCCAAGCCCTTTTAACCTCCTGCAAGGTTCCACAATATTGCTCTTGCACCGAGGGTGGGGTTTCAGCATGATTTTAGAGTTCTGAGGGAAGAGGGACTGCTCCCTTGCTCCCTGCCCCCCACAGTGCTGCCTTTCTGCAGAGCAACCCCCCCCCCCACCAACATTTGGTCAGGGCATAGCTTGTGTCCCTGTGTTGCCGTCATAGGGACAAAGGCCTTTAAATAGTTAACTTATTTATTTAACACTGTGGAAGGGAATGCATTCCCAACTCTGCCTTGTACGTGTCTAGGGAGTTGGTAGGGTGGTCCCCAATCATGGGCCTCTATGATACCTGGTTGTTGGGCTGAGAGCATTGCTAGCCCCTCCTGTGGTGATTGGTCTGGCCCCAAAGCCGCCTCCCCCACGAGCTTGGAAACTCCTGTCGCCCCAAACTGAAAGCCCACATGCTGGGGGGGCTGGGCTTCCGGGCCCTGCGGCCTCCCTCACCTCCCCCTTGCCCCGCCCAGCTCTGGGTCACCCAGGGCCAGGGCTCATGGACTGCCCAGCCTTCTCTTAGGGACCAGCAGCACAGGTTTGCCACAACCTGGCTCTGTCCAGCTCAGCCCCCAGGGCACATCTGTGACGGAGGGATTCCCTCCCTGCAGAAAACTCAGGAGCAACCCCTCGCCCTGGGCTAAGGAGATCTTATCTCCCCGGGGCTTAAGTGCCGTTTGCAATAATGTTATGTCTTATTTATTTAGTGGAGTAAATATTTTATACTGTATGTGAGCAATCAGAGTATAATGTTTATGGTGATGAAAATAAAGCCTTATATGTTTAAATTGGCATGCGTCTGTATTTTTTGAGAGGAAAGGACCAGAACTCTTTTAAAAAAGTATCACCCAATCTGTTTGTGACAATTTTTTGGCTTTTTCCTAAGGAAACTGTGGGGTTGGATTGGGTTTGGGGGAGCTGTTGGTGGTCGTTGCTTCAGTTCCCAGTACTGGCCAGCAGATGGAGCCATAGACCAGCACTCGGCGGCTGACCAGAGCCTGGGCGGGGCTCTGCCACAGCCCCTGGATCAAGTGCTTTCCAAGCCCTAGGGAGTGGGAGGGAGCTAGTAAAGTCCGCATGCAGGAGAGGGGTGTTTCCTTCTGAAAAGGGCTGACAGTGTGGCCAAGGAGGTGAGTGGAAGGAACACCCTGTTTTTAACTGCGGCCACAGCAAGAGAGTGCCTGGCAGGTGTTTGTGGGAGCATTGGACCACCACGATCCAGGAGCCCAGGTGTCAACAGGCTTACAGTCCTCCAAGAACTCCCTGGCTTCTGTCACTACAGTCAGTGCTGGGGGCTCCGACTGCTGCTGTGGCACTAGGCCTTGCGTCTCGTGCTTTTTGGTTTGTTTTTTTCCCCCCAAAAGGTACAGAAAACATAATCAGAACACTCAGTAAGTTCATACTAACATCTGCAGGCCGAAAAGACTGTTGTCATTTCACTCTAAGTTGTGTTGCTTCCGTTGAAACTTTGGGCCCCTAACCATTGAACAGAATTAGGTATTTGCCTTATCCTTCAATCTGCACAACAGTTTCCAAAGCGACCATACCGATACCATTGCTTACCCACAAGGCCATGACGTGCAGTGGAAGATTTTGTTGTGGTTAGCTCAGCCTTTAGGCCACAGCTAAGTTAGGGGTGACTTGATCAATATGCTATTTTAAGCTTTTTATCATGGGAAATAACGGCTAGAGAGAATAATATGAATGTGGACATAACCCACCACCCAGTTTCAACAGTTACCAGCCCCTGACCAACTGCTTCAGCAGCAGCCCCTGCGTCTCCACCAACCCTCTCCCATTCCATTTAAAAAATAGACTTTCTTTAGGGGATGGAAACACACAAAATAAAACATGGGCCCATTACCTCAACAGAAAAAAGGCATGGAACATTAAAAACAGGCAGAGAGCACAGACACTTCATCAAAGGCGACTTTGAGGCAGCCAGCAAACAACTCAGAGAAAGGCTCGCCTTCATCAGGCGCTGGCCGACTGCCAGTGAGTGAATTCCGACTCTGTGATCCTGCAGGGCAGAGCAGGCCTGCGCCGTAGGGTCTCCGAGGCTGTCTCTAGGCGCAGACAGCTTCTGGCCTGTGGAAAGGCTGTGGGTTTGAATCACCAACCTGTGGTTAGCTGCCCAACACTTAACCACAGGCCAGCAGGACGCCATTCATTAGCCATTAAACCAAAAAGCCAAACCCGTTGCCATGAATCCAGCCTGACGCATAGCAACCCCATAGAGGGTTTCCAAGTTGGCCAAGCTTTACAGGAGCAGACAGTCCACATTCTCCTGCAGAGCAGCTGGTGGGTTGAACTGCCAACCTTGTGGCGAGCAGCTCAGCTCGAAGAGCACAGCGCATGCCATCCAGACTTCTCTCTTAGTCCAGAGAGATGCCACTCCAAACAGCGATGTGCCACCCTCTCACCCCAGCAACCACAGCTGAGTTCAACAGGACAGGAGACAGCAGATGCTGGTGGGTGCAGAGGGGCTGGAACTCAGAACCACTGGCAGGCCTGTAGGAAGGTGCAACCATTATGGAAAACGGTTTGGCACTTCCTTAAAATGTTGGAAGTAGAAACACCATTTGATCAGCAAGCCCACGTGTGTATATATCATGAAGTAACAGGAGCCCGGACACAGACTGACACATGTAACGTAGCCCCACATTCGTTGCTGCCTTGGTCATTTTTAATACCAAAGAGATGGAAACACGCGAAGCACTCGTGTGACGGAATGGATGACAAGTTAGGGAATAGACACTCCATGGAGCACTTTGCAACGTCAGAGAATCACAAAGAATCCCGGACACCCCACACCGCGGATGAACCTGGAGGACGGCCTGCTGAGCGAAATCCGGTTGGTAACAGGGAGAAAATGATGATTTCTGGGGAGGAGAGGGGAGGATAATCACTAGATAATAGACAAGAAGGAGTTTGGGAAGGGGAGCGGCAGCATATGGCAGCATACTGGGTGGCCCCCCAGTATCACAAAGGCAAAGGAAGACGTGTTTATAAACGCACCCACACACTCTTGCATCATCAGAGGTGACATTCCACCACTTGTTGGTTGGTTGGTCACACAGTGGTGGCTTGTGTGGTGCTGCGATGCCGGAAGCTATGCCAGCAGACTAAGAGGAGACCATGAAGAAGGAACAGGTGGTCCATTTCGGAGGGATTCACCACAGAAAAACTCACAGACAGACTCGAAACCGTGTCAGATACTGCAAACCTCATGAACAGAAGGGGCCGTGGGCCCAGGCCCGGGCAGCGTTTCATGCCGTTGTACTTTGGGTGGCTGACTCGGAACCATGCGATGGTTCCTAACCACAACAGCACACTCGTGCAGGATCAGTAACAGCCAACATTAATCTACACCCCCGTGTACACGGGCAGACAGGCCAGCAGAACAGGCAGGAATAGGTGAAAGGGACAGCAGTCACAACCCCATATGGTTTGGCAGCTGGTATTTCTACCACCTTATTTATATAGGCTAGAAAGATACACCTGTGTTTATCATAAAGAAAATGGGGGAGAGACATGGAAACTTCTTAGCCTTGAGGGGACGAGTCCCCAGTCTGGACTGGGGAGTGCTGTTGCAGGGAACATCCGGGTCAATTGGCATAACAAGCCACGAAGCTAATGATCCACGTTCTACTTTGATCAGTGATGGGCGTCTTTAAAGCTTGCGAGAAGATGTTTCTACATATGATTTTGAGTTCCATTCCACATCTTCTCCCACTCTACTCAGGATCGTGGTTTATGACTCCTTTCAGAGCCGGCAGCTTTGGTGGTTGAGCACCATCTAGTGCTTCTGGTCTCTGAGGCTGAGGTTCAGGTGGTCCATTGGACGAGTCGTTTCTATGTGTCTGGATTTCTTCCCTCGTTGTTGCTGAGATGGGGAGACACCAATCACTGCACTTCTGTCTCTCGCAAGTGATGAACACCCCGGTGGTCCCTAAGATGGTCTCTCGAACACCTCAAAACCCCAGTGGCCTCTCGCAAGCTTTTAGTGATGGTGGTCTATTTTGGAAACGCATCGCAAGGGCGGTGGCTCTCCTTTATAGAAATGAGGAATGTAGTGAATGTCCCTGAATTGTAAATGTGGGAGTTGTTGTATTGACCCCACCTTGGTGTGGGTGCCTCCGCCTTCATATGCACGAAGTGTCTGAGCCACCTCAGGCACCTACCGCTGGTTCATTTAGCAGCGGTGGGGGTGGGGGTGGTTAGGTGCCCTCAGGGTGCTTCTGGATTCACAGTGACCCCATGTGACAGAGTGGAGCTGCCCCATGGGGTTTCCTAGGCTACAGGAGCAGATCCGCAGGTCTCTCTCCCTCCAGGGAGTGACTGGGTAGGTGTGACCTGCCAACATTCGGTTAAAAGCCCAAGGCGGAACCATTGCTCCCGCGGGGCTCCTTAATTAACTGCTACTGTTTCATAACTGGCAGGGTAGCGAGCGCAGTGTTAAAGCGCTCGACTGCTGGCCTTGAGGTCAGCGGCTTGCCCTGCTGGAGAGAGGCGTGGCAGGGTGCTTCCGTGGACTTTCAGGG